AGACATCTTCCTCCATAACCTGCATATTCCTAAAACAGTGTTTGCTTAACATCTTCAGATCCAATAATTCTGCCATGCTTCACCACCTAATCAATTAATTAGAATATGAGATTAGCATGACAGGCTGAAGCAGGTCAACAGTAACTTTTACCATGCTATCAGCAAAAGATGATAATGTACTGCACCAAAAAAAAAAAAGGAAAAGAAAAAAGGCAAAACATGATTATACTCATTAATGCACTGCTCCTAAGGATAAAAACAATAAAAAATAAAAAATTCAAAATCATATCCATCAGAATACCTAAGAAGGCATAGGCAAAATTTTCTTTTAACAGCAGAATATTTAAATCAGACGACACTGCAGAACCAGTAGAAAGAAATCTACTGAGTAAACCAAAAACTTCAAATTTTTTTGCTCAAAATTTAATTTAGTATAAAATGTGAAAAAGTAACTCCTCAAGTGAATCAAATTATTGAGAATTGGATTTACATTACATAAAGATGAATGATCTACAAGCTAGAGCCATTGAAGGCCTTTTCTTCTTCTTCTTTTTTATTGGTTTTTTTTATATTTAAGTTAAAAGTTCATTGGAGATTGTTGGCTCGTCTTCTTGACTACTTCCATCACTGCTTAAATGTTCAACCTACTCCCACTTAGATGATGTTGTTGTTTCTACTTAAAACAAAATGTTGTGCAGTATTAAAAAAGTGAAATAGACTAATATGTCACTTTAACATATATGGCCTAACCATGGATTTGTCAAATTTCGAATCTTGCTGAAAGAATAGATCCTTTTTTTTTTTTCATGCAAATCGATCCATAAAACTATACTATAGAACTTTTCCATAGGGTGCATCACCTCCTTTTTTTTTTTCAAGGAAATTGCATCATCACTTTTACTTTTCAAACATCAAGATTTGACGAAGTAAGCATCTTCATTCAACACTGATATGATGAAGTATATATATACACCAATTATCTGTTACCTTCAACGACTACTACCTAAGCCATATATAAAATCACCAAAATTTGTGGCCTTCCCCATTCCAAACCTCAAAAAGAATAGGCCCGAAAAGACCCAAAAAAAAAAAAAAAAAGGGTTTGTGATCCTTATCCTTGAAGAATAGATAAAATGAATCACATAGCACTATCTAGTGTTGTAGACAAGTGTGAATTGTAAATAGACAGTTGTAAGTTTTTTAGTCTTTTTAGCTTTTTCTAGCATTCCATGTGTGCAAATGCCTTGAATTACTTTCTCTACCGAAAAATTACTAGTCTATTATTAAGGAACCTGTTAAGCTAACAAAAAAGAATGATCATTCATATCATTTCAACCTCTCCTTTTTTTTTCTTTGTATTTATATGAACCCTAATTTGCAACTTTATAACTCTATTTTTTTTCGTTTTTGGTAATTCCTATTATATTATGTCATGTACATCAAATGTTTTTGTTATACCTTGGAAGGTTCAGTTGGAATAGTTCTTATTGCATCCACATATTTTCCATACGTATTGATTTGGTCACATCCACGTGGGGAGTGCTTATCGGAAATAGTATCCTTTTCTTTTCTTTTCTATTTTTCTTTGCAAAATAGACCAGAAATTAGCAAGCATTCAAAGTTTTTACTTCTTAGTTTTTCCACAAAACAAGATTAAATAGATTTATATACCACCTACCTAACAAATTTCATTTGCATATATTAACGCTTTTGCACTAGCACATTGAATTCTTCACCCCTACATTTTGCTTTCTACTGTTATCAAAATATAGTAAAATCAATCTATGGATATTGGATCATATGGTTGGTAAAAGAATAGAAAACACGAGAATTCAAAGACGTGTTTTTAGTCTCTTCAATTGAATAGAGTATTATTTGGAATAATTACTGTAACACTTTTTGTGATATGATGTATATGAGATAAAAAAGTGAATTGAAAATATAAAAAAGTGAATTGAAAAATGTGTTTATGATATAAGTAAAATATTATTTGAAAAATTTGATATCCAAACAAACCCATGCATCACATCATAAAAAATGTTATAATAATTATTTTAAATAATACCCAGTCCAAACACAATTTTCACCTTAAGGATGGTTCGTCAAAAGTTGCCGACTTTTAAGGGTTCTCACGGGATTAAGGTTAGTAGAAAGTTGTCCAAAAGTCTGCTGACTTTGCAAAAAAGGATGGTTTGTTGTACAATTTACACGCTCATAGTTATGTCTACCTACCAGCAAAACGTCATGATTGAGATTGGTTGTTGAATTTGAGAACTTAAATATCTGGAAAAGAAAAAGATCACTACACTAGGCAAGAGGGAAATTTGCAATTAGTTTCTAATGTTTGGCCTATATGTCAAATTGATTCTTAATATTTTAGTCAAAATAAATTTAATTTCCAAAGTTTTTGATATTAGGCATATTTAGGACAATTGATGAAAATTCAACATTGACCACTATCAAAGTCTAATTGCCGTTAGTCAACAATTTTGAGTTTGTAATTTTAGTCCCCCAATGTTTGGAATTTGAATAATTATAGTCTCATAAAATTTAAATAGGATATTGAAACTTTTAATATGAAGTGAGATGCAAATTAGAACAAAATTATTAAAATGTGTAATAGGAATCCCAATTAAACTTTTTTTCTTCTTTTTTTATTTCATACTCCTTTTATTCATGCCACTAATTTCTCATATACTTCTTCTCTTTACATAGTTAGTCTCAAATTTTGTATAATATATGTAATTATTGTTTTACACTATTAAATAATTAATTTATAATAATTTCTATCATTTTTTTCACTTTTAGTGATAATTCGAAAATCTAATTAAACATCCCTTTAAGAATATAAAGAATATATACTGTAATTAGATTAAGTTGGTCCATTTTTCTATTCAATAGGCTGTCAATAAGTTTGAAATGTTGGTCAGTTATAAAATTATTTGAATTAGTCATAATTATCGAGGTACACAAATATGAAAATAAATACTTTAAAACTTTAGGTTTAGATGTTAGATTTTAATAGATAGGAAGACAACAAGAAATAAAAAGAATTTTTTTTAAAGTTCCTAAAAGCACTTCATAATGGTACAAAACTTCACTACATTTTATAATTACAACCGTTAACTATAATAATCTGAGGCTTATATCTACATGTCATGCAATAACTTTTGTAATAATAATGATGATAATAAACTTTCACATTGAAACTAGATTCTCATTTTCTTTGAGTAATTTTGTTTTATATATTACCCGTATATTGTTATCCAATTGTAACTTATTCAAGAATAAGATGCTCTTTAGGTTAAACAATGATTTTTTTTTATATATGTGTTTTCATAAAATTTTGAGGGATTTAGGAATACATTTGTTATATATTTAATTCAATTTACACTTTATTTTGTCTTAAAACCCCTAATTACGACTACTTTAAACCTGAGGGACCATATTGACTGAAACTTCAAACACTAGGGACTAAAAATATAAAAATAACACTAAATTGATTTTGACCGTTAGTTTTTTTTTAAGGCAATTTTGACTGTTAGTTATTATAATCTTCAATTAGTTGTCCTAATTTTGCCTAAAATCAGAAACTTTGGAAACTAGATTTATTTTGAGAGAAACTTTGGGAACTAGATTTATTTTGGGGACCAGTATAGCACACAATCTAAATATTGGGGGGGGGGCAAAACTTCAATTCTTTTCTCAGCAAAATTTACAGTAAAAAGCCAAATTTGGGTAATCCTTTCTTTATCAAGCTGGAGATTCTACTTCCTAATATTATTGACTTGTCAAGAATTAGATTTGTTGTATTCATGGGCCATTACAAATACTTAACTTTGTTTTCATAGACTAGTGTTTGTTTCAAAAAGAAAGATGATTAATTACAGTTTACGCCCTTGAACTTTGGGAGTCATAACATTTAAAAATCTTGAATCTTGAAAAATATGCACTTTACCCCTGCGAAGATTGGTTAAACGTTAGAAAAGTTAACTCCATCCAACGAAATGAGTATGTTGACGTTTACAAATTTAGGCATGATAGTTATTTAACTAACACGCCTTTGGCCACTAGGTAACAGATTAAAAAAAAATCCTTTTTTTATATGTTACTATATATATATATATACACACACACACAAAATCTTTTCTCTTGATTTTCGAACCAAAAAGGTTTAAACATTGCCCCAAAAAGTAGTCTTGTTTAATACCAAATTTATCATATTTTTTGCATGCCTCACTTCTTGTTATTTATTTATTGTTTATTATTTGGTATCAAAGATCTCGAAGTTAATACGTGTAATTTTAAAAGATGTTAAGATATATCCATAATGCATTGTGAAAAAAAATTTAACAATCAAAATCTCTAATTCCATATTTAACATTTACGTTATCAAAATAACATATAGAGAATTTTCAATTTATTCTGAAACTATGTGAGATTTATTTGTAAGAACTATATGAGAATTTTGTCAAAAATATTTTGGAAGAAAGCATTGTATGTTCATCTTATAATCACTTATACATATACTTAAATGTAATTGTAAATTATTAAGCACAAAAGAAATTAAAAGTTCGGTATTTATGCTTACAAACCCCTATTCTTTGCACATAATAACGGTGAACTGTCATGAATCATGCAAATATTAGTCTGTGCAGCCTAAATTTCATAGAAGTCATACATAATATGAGTTGTTAGTCTTAGAAACTACTTGAGTTGCTATTACCTTTGGTGGCAAAGTGTATATATTCAAAATTAGAGATGGTAAAGTGTGACTACTCCAAAATTCGGGGGAGTCGTAATTTAATTAACCCCAAGAAATATATAGATCGAAACCTTTTGGAATTTTCCTACTATCAAAGGAACCTTCCAACAAAATTTTGTAGTAGCAGTGGTACTAGTCAACATCAAGATTACGAAGACGCGGAGCGTGTAAAATCTTATGTTTCTAGTATAAAATTATTGCTTTCTTGCAGACCAAAACGAGTCAAAGCAATTGCAGTAGTATTAGACTTCATAAATAAACCCCTCCCCAGTCCCCAGTCCCCAGCAAACTCCAAGAAACTGCCCCTGAAAAGCACTTTTCCCTTTTCATCTTTTCATCAGGTTAAATCCCTTTTCTAGCATTCTTCCACCTGAATCAGAATCATTGGAAAAGAACCCCCCAAATCAATCAACATGCATGAGGAAAAGAGTCCCAGAAAAATACCCTTTTTGCAAGGCTTTTTGTGCTTATTGGTGGTCTTGTTGGCATCTTTTCCTAGCTGTTCCTTTGCCGCCAGTCGCTCTTCTGCCACCAAAAAGAAGGCTTCTGCTTCCTCTGTGATTTTCCCTGTTAGTGGAAATGTTTATCCCAAGGGGTATGCCACAATTCTTTTGTGTTCTTTGTTTTTTTTATTGTTTTTTAAAAACGAAATATTCATGTAATTTCATTAGTTATGATCAATCTTGACGCTCTTGCACCTTGTTGTTTATTACCGGAGAGTTTTTTATCCTATTGTTGTTCTTTTAAATTCTGTAATTTTAAATTAAACGATATATGCCGGTAATCTCGATAGTTATCATTCTTACATTCTTGTAGTTTCTGTATTTATGGATGGATGTTTTGGTAGAAGTTTTTTGTTCTTTCTTTTTTTATGATGAGATGAATGAGAGTTTGTGTTTGGGTTTCATCATGCAGTTGAAAGTTGAAACTGTTGGGAAGAATCCTGATTTTTTTTTTTAAACTTTGACTTTGATCTAGTTTGAATTTCTTATGCAACTCCTATTAAGTCCATTTGTACTATTTCACACAGTTGTCTTTTAAATTAATTCAACCTGTATTTCCCAGTTAACTTTTTCTTCTAATAGGTAAATCATCAATTCCAGAATGCGTTACAGAGCTTTTCTTAATACAGTACGATTTCCTTGATCATATTGAGCTTCTCTTTTTTTTCACTTTTTTCTTTCTGTGGAAAATTTTGAATAAGTTTCCCCTTATCCTTACATAAGCAGGTCAATTTAGATTTGGAATTTAATCTCTGTATGTGTGTGCGAGCGCTTGCATTCATGCGTCATGAGCTTTCGCGTGCTTTCAGGATCATGATTTCATAGATGAGGGAATGAAGAGCTTAGGAAATTTTGGCGCATCATGGTCTTGTTAGTTAAATAATGAATTAACAATGCCAGCATTAGTAGAATTTAGAATTGTCTGGTGATGGAATATTGTGTCTGTTTAATTGGCAATGCTTTCAATAAGCTGTTCATATTGTGTGATGTGCAGCTATTATCAGGTGACAGTGAACATAGGCCAGCCTCCTAAACCTTATTTTCTAGATATAGACACTGGAAGTGACCTTACCTGGCTCCAGTGTGATGCACCTTGTACCAAATGCACACCAGTAATTCTTTGTTGCCTCTGAACTTCTCATTGAAAATTTTTTGTACTTTTCAAACTTTGGGGCTTTTGCTGAACATAGATGCATTATCTCTCTATTTTTGCAGGCACCTCACAGTCCTTACAAACCCAACAAAAACCTTGTCACATGTAAAGATCCCTTATGTGTATCCCTTCACGGGCCTACAAGCCATCAATGTGAACCCTTAGACCAGTGTGACTATCAGGTTGAGTATGCTGATAGGGGTTCATCTCTCGGCGTGCTTGTCCAAGATTTGTTCCCCCTGAGATTCACTAATGGCAGCATTTCAGCACCTCGTCTGGCATTTGGGTAGGTAACTTACAAGATTATTTTACCTCGATGACTATTTCATTTCTTCATGTGACCTTAGATTCTAATATGCCCTTGTTATCACATTGAATTGGTTTTTCCTCTTGGGTGTAGTTCAAGATGTTTTTGTTCATGGGAAGTAAGACTAACTTTTTCCTTGTACATCGCATCTTGTCATCTTTTATTGTCTATTTGCAGCTGTGGTTACGATCAAGAAATTCCAGGTCCAAATCCACCTTATACAGACGGAGTACTTGGCCTCGGCACTGGGAAGTCTAGCATTTTATCGCAATTGAATGGCCTGGGACTGACACGGAATGTAATTGGACACTGCCTCAGTGTTCAAGGTGGGGGATTTCTTTTCTTTGGTGATGATCTTGTTCCTTCTTCAGGAATTGTATGGACATCATTATCAAGCAACTCTCTCGAGTAAGATCTTGATAACTTATAGTGCTATTGTAGTATTCTTTTCATGCTTAACTTTTACCCTTACATAGCCTGTTATCTCTTCAGGAAACACTACTCCGTGGGACCAGCAGACCTCTTTTTTGGCGGCCAGGCTTCAGGGGTTAAAGGCCAATCTATAGTTTTCGATAGTGGGAGTACTTATAATTACTTTAATTCCCAAGCTTACAATGCTGTAGTTTCTTTGGTGAGATGGACACTCAAATTTTGCATGCTTTATTACGTATAATGCTGAAGCTTAATTTGAAGTACTGCTTTTCAGTTAAAAAAAGATATTAATGGGAGGAAACAGTTACAAGATGCTGTGGATGACAAGAGCCTTCCAATTTGCTGGAAAGCTCCAAAGCCTTTCAAATCAATTTTAGATGTCAAGAGCTATTTCAAACCATTAGCATTAGTGTTTACAAGTGCTAAAAATGTTCAATTTCAACTGCAACCTGAAGCGTATCTCATTGTCACGGTAAGCAGCCCTTCAGTATTCATTATATCTGCAGACAAGTACAGGCTTAGGAAATATTGTCTAATTCATTATAACAGAAAGATGATTTTGTCTAATTCTTTTCAGAAACAAGGCAACGCATGCTTAGGTATCTTGAATGGTACTGAAGTTGGAATTGGAAAATTTAATGTGATTGGAGGTAAGCAAGTATGAAAAAGCAAATCATATCTTGTGGAAACCTCTTTAACTTTCTAACTTCAAATTTTCTATATCATTGGCTCCGTTTGGATTAGCTGTTTTTGGGTTTGTTTTTCAAAAACACTACTGTAGCATTTTGAATCTGAAAAACAAGTCCGTTTGGATTAGTTGTTTTTGGGTTGTTTTTCAAAAACTATATGAAAAACTTTTACTATAGATTTTTTTGGATTATTTTTAGAGGTATTTGTGAAACATATTTTTCAGTATTTTTAGAATATTATAATTTTTATATTTTTATATAAAAATACATTTATGCATTTATAATACATTTATATTTACAAATGTATAGATGTATATTATTATAAATGTATAAATTATAAAAGAATATTATATAAATGTATAAATTATAAATTTTATTTTTATATAAATATGCATTTATGCATTTATAATACATTTATAGATATTTATAAATAAATATATTTATATATTCATATAAAAATATATAAATGTATTATATTATATATAATACATAATATAAATATATTTATAAATGTATAAGTGTATATTATTATAAATTATAAATGAATATTATAAATATATTATAAATTATAAGTGTATATTATTATAAATGTATAAATTATAAATGAATATTATAAATGCATAAATTAATATATTATAAATATATATTAATATTATGTAGAAATGTATTTATATAATTAATATAAATGTATATATGTATTGATATTATGTATAAATGTAAAATTAATATTATGTATATTAATATAAATGTATAAATGTATTATAAATGTATTATATTATATATTATACATAATATAAATGTATATTATAAATATACATAAATATTTATATATTATGTATAAATGTACATTTATATAAATATATAATATATAATATATTATATTATATATAATTTAGATAACATATAATATTTATGTAAATATATTATAAATATATAAAAATATATTATAAACAAAATAAAATATTTATAATATGTATGTATAAATATATAATATTAGAAATGTATAATATATATAATATACATTATTATTAATATAATTTATGTATAATATACATAATTAAAATACACATATTAATATATATTAACATATATTATAAAACAAAATTGAATAAATATATTTATAAATTTATATATAAATAAATGTATTTATATAAATATATAATAGTTATTTCAATTGATATAATATATATAATATTATACATAATTGAAATAAATATATTTATATTAATATAATATATATAATATACATAATTGAAATATATATATATATATATATATTAAAATACATAATTGAAATATACATATTAAAATATATTAATATATAATTGAAATATACATATTAAAATACATAATTGAAATATATTTATTAAAATATACAAATTAAATATACATAATTGAAATATATTTGGAGTTGTTTTTGATATATTGTTTGGATATGATGTTTTTTAAGTTATTTTTGAAATACACATTTACTGTAGCATTTGAAATGTGAAAAACAGTTTTTCAAAAATAGGTGCAAAAACACTCAATCCAAACGCAGCAATAGACATTTCTCTGCAAGACAAGTTGGTGATTTACGACAATGAAAAGCAGCAGATTGGATGGGCTTCGGCGAATTGCAACAGGCTTCCCAAGTCCTGACCATGACATTGTCATTTTTACCTTTGACATTATCGGGGTGGAGGGGGCATTCTCACAAGAATTTTTTTTCTTCTTTATTTCAGTGTGGATCGTGATTACAGTGAAGGTTATTATCAGCCTTACTCTGCCAACTTCAACATTTTAGAAGAGAGTTGCCCTGCTACTTTGTGGTTACATTAGGAAGCAGACTAGCAAATAGAGTTAAAAACTTACATAAAATGTAATTTCATGTTATTTGTTCACATAGAAATGACATAAAAGGATAGCTGTTTGTTGTACAATGCTTCCTTGATGTAAATTCCACATACATGCAGAGTATATATAAATATAGATTGGGTGCTACCCCTATACAAGAACATGTCAGTGACGTGTCTGAATGGCCCCATTGTATCTTGTTGCAGTTGAGTTAGATTTGTCTATGCGGTATTCAAACCAAACCTTTCCTATGCTTCTTGTTTGAAGCAGAAATAAGATTAATCATCAAGGTTCGAATATAGATGTTTGTCTAGTACCTGCGATGGGCACAAGCAATCATAGCATCAGTTTGAATAGGGCACCGTCTAGGCAAACTTGAATACAAACTACCACAATGAGTAATTAAGAGCACGAATTAAACCTTGATGGGGGGAGGAGCAGTGAAATCTTAGCAGGGTTCAGGTCTTTAGGCCTTGGAAAATACTTCCACCTCCAATTATGGATTAGGTATGTTGTCGTGGAAGATTTCAGATGGATTAGGATGGGGTGGGGGTTTTTGCTGACACTTTATTAACCTTTGCAGAATGAGGATACACTTTTAGGTAATAATCATGAATGAGGTGATAACAATGGTCTCTGACTGCTTTTTGTACTAAACAGATAAAACGCAAGGGTTCAACATTATCCCACCTTGAGCCACAATGACATATCATTTCATGTTTCATCAGCTGTATTGGTCCAAGACTATCTTAGACAGGTTACTGGGAGAATAAATCATCTTAGTCCCAAAAGGGAAACCACAACTGGAAGTTGATGTTACAGGTAATGCCAAATTGCAGGAGTGTGAGAGATGGGGTTGGAGGGAGGAAGATATAGACTTACCCGAACTGAAGAAAACTCATCTGTAAAAGGCTACGATGAAATGTGATTTATACACTGCAATTTCAATTAGTTTATAAGTCAGTGCAACAATAGTGTACGCTGAGGATATGGTGAATCATTTTAAAGAATGTATATAACCATAATTGCAAAAGGGAAGAAAGAAAAATGACATACAACCAATGCACTTCCTAATTTTAGAATTAACATTACCGAAAGAAAAAAGTCTGTAAAACAATTTATTGTTTTCTGCTTTACCCAGTATGATCTGTGCATACAAGATAAATGCAGCAGATAGACAAAGGCACAAAGCCAAGCAGTCCGAACTGTGACTTGAAATCCTAAGCACAAAATTTCTAGCCAATAAGATTTAAACATCGAGCATATCTTTAGTGGCATATCCAACCGTTGCAGGTACAAATGCCACAGGTAAGACCATCATTATCCAGAAATATTTGCTATGGTGCTCTAAAAGTTTACAAGAAGAAAGGGGTACCAGATAATGACTAATCAGATTAACCAGTTCAAGACACCAGGAAATCCAATTTGGATTATTGTAAGCATTCAAATCATGCAAAACAATTCATGATATTAATCGGTCTATTCCACCAATGACTTCCAAGATGTGTCCTCAACAACTTTCGAAGTACTTAATTTTCAAATTTAACCTTATATTCTCAAATAATTTGCCTTTATAGTCTTACATATAAGATGCCAAGAAATAAGTTCCTCACTAATGTTTAATTCCAAACATAAGCTGCTGAGCAATTATAGATATCTTAATCAATAACCAATAGACAGAGAAGTAATCTGAAATTTTGTGCAATCCAATGCTTGGGATATAATTTTGTTTACAGACATTTAAAGAACTAAGCATTTGATGTGACGGGCGAAAGCGAGAATTAATGTTCGAAATGATTGTTTCAGCACTTCTTACATTACATAATAGAATTGCTAATCAGAGAGTAAAAGGATGGGACTTAAATGGCCTATAGCTTCTTTCATTAGGATGAATTAGTAATTTCACTATCACTATGTTGCTCCATCCTTTTGTCCTCCGACAGTATCCAAGATAATGACTTTCAGAAACAATTGATGGAAAATCATACAAATCCCAGATTTCCATCTTCTCAGGAATGATATTACAAATAATCAAGCAATTTAGCAGATGCATCCTTGCTGGCTAGACTAAGTCTTGAATCAAAAACTACACAAAGCCAGAAACTGTTGCGTGCGAAGGAGACCTGCCTATAATTAGATGCTAACAGCATAAGCACATACTAATACTGAAAGACAAACACAAAAACACACTCGGAAAACAGAAGTGCCAGTTTTTCCGGATGGATAGACCCAGTTAAGACCTCAATGACTAGGTTTATAGGAAGGAAAGACTAGTTATGACTCAACCTTGAAATCATCAACATTTCATGGTCATCCTCAACTTCGAACTCATTATGTATTTAACAAGTCAAAATTAATGCTTAAGAATGACTCGAAACTTGGACAGTGAAAATTGTCAGATAAAAAAGAAAACCAGTTTTAATGCTTGTGAAGATGAAGCAGGCAATGCAATCTTTCTTTGACCTTAAACCCCATGCAAGACTTGAAAAAATCATGCAAGCAGGCTCAGTCTCAGCATATTATGCTCTTCAGAAGGAACCAAGCCCCAATTATATGTGCAAGGAAAGTGTTCAGCTCATGATAAGTTGGAATCTACCTAATTAGTCCAACAGTAACAAGGAGAACAAGAAGAAATTACGTGCTATTTAAAGAACCGACAATAACAAGTTCTGGAAAGGAAATAGTTTGAATCAAAACAACATTCCCTAATTCTTTTTTCATTAAACAACTCTGTAATGACTCTTTCTTTCTAGAGAGGTGAGTACTTCAATAAATCTGTTCCAAAACGTAGCTCAACTTACTGATTTTTGAACTTGAACTGATTATAGAATATGCTAAGTTCATTGTCCAAGTTAACAAACATATCTTAATTATGTAGTAATACACCAATCATATGCTCCTTCGAAAAGAAAACCATGCCATCATTTCTACCAGTCACTTAGCAAATGAAAACCACATAATGTAAAGAAGCCTATTCCCAGAATATCATACATCTGTTAGGTTACTTACCAAATGACAACCACAAAATGTGAGGAGCCCATTCTTAGCATACCACATATCTCTCAGGTTCTATTCTCTAAATTTGAAGGAAATACACTGATCAGGTTTTGGAGAATATTGATCGCAGTCCTATAATATGCCTAGCCATCCTATAGATTGGCAATTCTATAAGCTTGTTTATTAATTTTTGCAAGGATAAGCCCCTTTATCCAATATAGACTGATAAAAAGGTATGCAGAGTAAAACCAAAAAGTACGAACTTTGGCTGACCATAAATATTGAATAGAGGACAATAACATGAAACTGGGACAAAAATAATAAATCAAATAATTATTAGGCACAAACATGTCAAGTTAACATGTAGAAGTTATTGAATTCAAAAAATAAAGATGGTTATGAAGTTCAAAGAATGACAAATTAGGTAAACCATACAGCTAGAACACATTGACAAAAACTACCTTTGCATGGCAAATCTTCGTGATAGCTTCGACGTGAAGGCTCTGCATTTCTTCAAGGGTATTGAGATCCAAGCCACCAATATCATCACCCTGAAAAAGAATCCATGTATATCTCATCAGCCGAGATGAGAAGGTAAAAGTATACGAGTAATTTCTGTTAACCGGCCTGTTTGGAAACAATATAGTTACTGGAACTCCAAATACTCATGGCAAGGTGCCCATGAACCTAGAAATTACAATCTCAAGGGAAATACGCCAGTCTAATTATTTCTCTGATCAAATCAAAACAATGTACTAAGTAAACCCAGCTCAATAAAAAGAGGAAATTTAAATTATAAAGCATCAAATTCGAAAAGATAAGAGCCTAAAAACATGGGATATGAAAATTTTGTCCATTATCAATATCAATATATATAATCTCTTCTTCATCCAGAAATTTGATATTAATCAAAATGTTATTGTGCTTTGCTATTTCTTTAAGTCTCCTGACTTGTTTATGCCTTCTCCAGATATGCATGATCAAACTGTATGGACTCTAAGTACTTCTGGGATCTTCACTACCAAATCTGCTACGAACGGTCTCAGATCCCAGGGACCAGCTGTGTATTGGTATAAGTTGGCATGGGGCAAGAACTATGTCCCTAGATTTGCTCTGATTCTCTGGTTAGCTTGTAAAAGAAGGTTATATAGTGTAGATAGATTGATGAAATAGGGGTTTCAGGTACCAAATGTTGATTGTGTTGTGCCATGAGGAATATGAAACATTTGACGGCCCGTTTTTAGTTGTGGAGAATCTCAGGTTTTGTGGCAGACGACTCAAAGAATGTGTGCAGTGTATAGAGAACATGTATATGAAGTATGAAGAGCAAGGAATGCAGGGGTTCTTTCAGCAAACTCTTCCTCTGCTAGGAGTGTAATGAATTCGAACATTGACTCAGTCCAGCATGTGATTAAGGCTTGGGGGAAGATTCCTATTTCCAAGATTAATTTCAAGCTTTGCCTGGAATGGGGTCTCTCCTTGGACTTGCTTTGCAAAGTTTGTGTGTGCATTTTGCCTCTTTTTGTAAGTAGTGTACAGAATAGTATGTGGCCTTGTGTACATAGGGTTTTTACCCCTTGAGTGTAAGCTGCTTTGCTCATCTTCAATAAAAAATTATTCCATTTTGCTCAAAAAAAAGAAGTCTCCTTCTCCCAGAAAATCTGAAAACAATGATATTTTGAAAAAATTATCTTCTTCGGCTCAATCAACCGATCAAGTTCTTTTAATCAGAATGCAACATATGGTCAGAAGCAAACTGGGACCTAATTTTGAACCAATTCAGGACATGATTCTTGGGAACAACCAATTATGAGTCATTAACCAAGCATCCTATTGCATAAGCAAAAAATTTTCAACAGTTCCCACTTGATGATAATTGTTGTTCCACATAGCAATAGAAATGCACTTGGTTATCAGCTTTGTACACACGCATTGAAGAAACTAAAATGGATTGCATCCATACTTGTTCATCTTTCTTTTTCTAAACAGTTCTGGAAAGCGTGGAGTCTATAGTAGCAAATATTAAAGATATGCTGTTATTTGTGATGCTTTACAAAGATTAAAAAGCATAGAAAAGGCAAACTACAAAGACTTATAGCTATTGGAATATGCAGTTATGTGTGGTGCTTTACAAAGATTAAAAAGCATACAAAAGGCAAACTAC